ACCGAGCCCAGGTCCGCTTCGTCCTCGCTGCCCGAGAGAAGCTCCGGCAGAGAGAGGTGCCCGCCGGCAGGCCAGCTCAGGGAGGCGTCTCTGGGCACCCCACGTGGGGCAGAGCTTCCCGTGCCAGGCCCTGGCCTGCTGCCCACCCTCGCCGCGATCTGCCCGTTTGTGCTGGCGCGGCAGTCCCTCCCCGGCACGCCGTCCCCTTGTTCAATGTCACTGAGACACTGCTCCTCGGCGGTGGCCAGGGCGGCCGGCGCTAGGTTGCATTCCTCCGACGCCAAGAAGAACTCAGCCCACTCCCTGTCGTTCAGCTGGATGCTGTACTCGAAGTTATCCATGCCTGCAGCAGGAAAGCAAGGGGAGATCAGGGCATGAGGAGGGGGCACCAGCATCAGCAGGTACAGCCAAGGTGTATGCCCGTGGCACTTTCCCCCCCAGGTCCTTGCCCTGCTTCCCTGCCATCTGCGTTCACTCATCCTCACTCGTTTCGAGCTGAAGGCAGTGGGAGGCAAGGGCAGGTCCTGGCAGACTCAGCAGGATGGATATCTCTGTGCTGGACCGTGACCCAGCCAGCAGTGAGAGAGACCACTACTACCCCCCTCAGGTCCCTTGTGCCGCTGCTCCCCGAGCCCAGCAGCAGAGGGTTTGGGATTCTCTCCACCGCAGCATCGCACCTCTCATACCCCTTTCCTACTCCTTTTGCCTACAACCCGTTTAAAAAAGTAGGGGATTTACGCTCTTGAGCATTCCTTCTGCCGCGGCATCATGCGTGAAGCACAGTCCAAAACGAGGGCATTTCAGCAAGCCACAGCAGCCTCTTCCATACTGGTGGCTCTGGGGAGGGAGATGCAACAGAGCCCAAAACAGCAGCGGGGATCCAGCAGTAGGAGAAGAAGCAGAGAGATCACAAAGCTGCCTCCTACCTGTACCACAATCTAAGCCGGTGATGGAGCCATTCAAAGAGCCACGCAGGAAAATCCTCCCAGCACAACATGATGCTGTACCCTTGACGGGGGCAGAGAGCTCGGCTCCAGCACAGATCCATTCAGGGGCTAAAAATAGCCACCACCCCCCCTCCCTCCCCAGTGTGTCACTTGAGATCCGAATGTGATGGGTTCGGAGAGGGCAGGCCCATATATAGAAGCTGGTGGGGAAGACGTGAGGGTGCCAGCCAATGCGTTTCTGTCCCTGGGGTCTCTGGGACGACTCCTGATGCCCACTGCTCGCTTCTGCCCTCTGCCTGGGCTTGCTCCGTGGACTGGCCAGCAGAGAAGGGGCCCAGGCTGTCCCAGCTCACAGCCTTTAGCACGAGGCAGAGCGTGACATCTGGATGGCAATGGCTGGTCTTTTTTCAACATACCCACCTCTTTGCCTTGGTCTGTAGGTTACCCATTTCTAGGGTCACAAAAAACATGCCTCAGGGGCATCGTTCGCCTATTGATAGCACTCCTAGGGCACTGCTGCAGATTTACATCAAAAGATCACAGCCAGGTTCACGGTCTTGTGACAAACCTTGCATGGCTTGTGGCAGCCGTCCCACACCGCTCAGGAGCATCTGGTGCAGGTGGCAGAAGGAGCCTTGGGTTGGAGTCTCAGGGTGAGCCTTGGCACGAGGGGAAGCGACTGGCCGAGGGTGGCCTGGCGGGTC